TGTCCCTCAGCTCTTCAGCTCAAGGCTAGCGCTCTACCACTTGAGCCACAGCACCACTTCCGGCTTTTTTTCTTTTTGCTTATGTGGTGCTGAGGATTCGAACCCAGGGCCTCATGCATGCAAGGCAAGCACTCTACCACTGGGCCACCTTCCTAGCCCCTAAATTCTGCGTTTTTAAAAAATTAAATGTAACTGAAGTTACTTCACCTGGATCCCGGAAGAACAGTAATGTGAATGTGGATAATTGGTATCTACAGTAACTTTTTAAAGACCATATCAGTGCCAGAGGCCAAATACCAGTCTTATAATCCTAGCTACTTGGCAAGTTGAGATCTGAGAATCCTCATTTGAAAGCCAGCTTGAGCAGGAAAGTACACAAGACTCTTATCTCCAATTAGCCAGCCAAAAAAAACTGGAAATAGAGAAATGTCTGAAGTGGTTGAGCACCAGCCTTGAATGAAAAAGCTGAGGGACAACACTTAGGCCCCAAGTCCCAGCCTCAGTACGAGCACAAAAACAAAACAAAGCAAAAAAAGTATCAATATTTTAACATTGGGGTTTTTTTGGCTGTCCATTAATAGCAGATAGTTTGGTATTTATATGCATGTTTTAGAGAATTGCTTCACATTTAATCTGAATATTGTCAGTGGTAGCTTTTTTCCCTTAGATTTGTAGCTTCCTATAGACAATTATAAGACAATAAATTGAGAGCTTATAATAGTGCTTTTTTTGTTTGTCTTGTTTTGTTTTACCAGATACAGTGAAATGGGCCATCAATACTTTTCCTGTGGTCTTGAGTCATAGTGTTTCTCAGAAAAAAACAATCTGAGCTGGTCTCACCTTTTATATTAATATTATATATCCACAGACATGTGTCATAAGATATGCTGTGCCCTGTGACTTTGCTATGAAGGAGAAATTTGAGGACCTGGGAAAGCATAGAATGGATGTTGATTTCCATAAATTCTGTTTGCACTTTTCTTTCCCCTCATCTAGGGTATAAAGCACGTTGATCACTTTGGCTTTATCTGTCGGGAGTCTCCAGAGCCTGGGCTGAGCCAATACATTTGTTACGTGTTCCAGTGTGCCAGTGAGTCTCTGGTAAGTGGTGTTAATGCTGTCCGGGAGCTTCTGCCAGCACATCTGTCTTACAGCAGACTCGATTCTTGGGAACCCAAAGGAAAAAGAAGAAGATAACTAGAAATACATTTTTATACCTCAGGCAGAACACTAGAGAAACAAAAACAAATTATCATGACAGGTATTAAGCCTCAATATTTCCTTGGATCTAACAACCGTCCTTCCCCCATATTACCAAGACTTTGTGTGTGTGTTTTTTTAAAGTAAAGACTAAGAAAAGCTGTTACTTGTTTTCCATTGTTCAAATAAAAAGATAAGAAAGGCATAGTGCGCTTATTTCCTTAATTGTTGTAACATCTCAGAGTAGATAATCAACAAAGTTATTTTTTTCCCTTTTTTATATTAGCCTCTGTCTTCATTTTTAAATACTTGATTCATCTCCTTTTCTCAAATTTGCAAAGCATTTCTAACACTAACCCTCTTCTGCCCTCTAGTATGGGGTGGTTTGAGAGAAAATACATCATGCAGGGACCTGATGAGAGACAAAGAAATCTACTGATATTTTTTCCCTCAAAGATTTCCATTCTCCTCCTTTTACTGTCTCCAGTAAACACTGTCTTCACTAAACACTAAGCTACACCCCTCACCATTTGTAAAGAGTTTATAGAACTGTCTCCTTGCTGCTTAACTCTCACCTTCTGCTGGCCTAGCTGAGGACACTTTGGCTGGAGTAGTGAAGAAGTGATTTAGTAGATTGGCACTTCTTTGTTGTCTGCTGCCTTCTGGATCTCCATCTAGGCAATATAAATCTCTTGCCTCTAATAGTTCATTATTCCACAGAGTCTCATTTGAGTTTCATTCTCTCACTAGATAATCATCCATCCGTAGCAAATACTCAGTAACTATCTGGGTTACCCTTGCTATGTGGATTTAGGTTAGGATTTGCATTTGCATTTGAGAGTTGTCTTTAGTTGATAATAATAGAGGGCACAGGGTGGATGAGTTCTTAGAGGAAGAAATAGGAACTAGAAATTGGTAGAAAACACACTAGAAAATGTCAACCAGGAACAAAAAAGGTGATATGGGAGACTCTGCTACCCATCCCACCTGATTCATTTGGTAACATCATATATCCAAATTTTTTTTTTTTTGCCAGTCCTGGGACTTGTACTCAGGGCCTGGGATCTGTCCCTGAGTCTCTCTGTGTTCAAGGCTAGCATCTACCACTTGAGCCACAGCGTCACTTCCGCCTTTTCTGTTTATGTGGTACTAGGCAAGCACTCTGCCACTAAGCCACATTCCAAGCCCGCAGCTGAGAAATCTTGATGCATTCTCTTCCATTCTCTGTGTCCAGTTGTTTGCTGAATTCTTTTGACTCAAAGATAGAAATCTGTTTCCCATCCACCTCCCCTTTTCCACTTTGCTCCTTGATTCTGGGCATTTATTTTCCTGTACACACTAATTTTAGCATCCAGTTTCTCCAGAAATAATTTAAATCAGTCATCTTATTTTTTATGTTACCACCAGAGTGTTCCTTCTCACAAAATCTCTCCATAGGCACTCAGTTGACGCAGGAACAAAACCTGGGTCTTCCAACCTGCAACTGGGCCTTCATTCTTCATTCTTCTCCACATTTGCATTTTTAAAAATCCCCCATGTGGACTGCAATGCTGTGTCTTGTCACACTTGTCATCATGTTCTATCTCACAAACTGTTCTCTGGGCCAAACCACAAGGGCTGTTTGGTGATGGTGTTATGGTGCTTATATTTTGGTTTGCTAGTAAAGTGAACATGTGCTGAAGAATATAGGACACACATGAGATCAGGAATATTCCTACTGAGCTGGATGCTGGTGGCTCACGCCTGTAATCCTATCTACTCAGGAGGCTCAGATCTGAGGATCATGGTTTGAACCCAGCCCAAGCAGGGAAGTCTATGAGATTCTTATCTTTAACTAACTACCAATTAACTACTTTCGTGTGTGTGTGTGTGTGTGTGTGTGTGTGTGTGTGTGTGTGTGTGTATACCCAGCCCAAGCAGGGAAGTCTATGACGCGCGCGCCAGTATTCAGGATTGAAAATCAGGATGTGGGTTGTATCCCTTAGCATTTTTGCTAAGATTGGTACTCTACCATTTGAACAACATCTCCATGTCTGGTATTTTCTTATTAATTGGAGATAAAAGTCTCAGCTTTCAGCCTTCTGAGTTATGAGGGGCTGGCACACACACAGCTCTTACTCTTGTTAGCCCCTGGGTCAGGCTTTCACACTTTGATTGACAGATGAGCTTCTTGGTCTTCACAGCTGACAGGCATTTTCCAGGTGTGGTCAACCTCTCTTACTGCAGGCTTTGCATGGAAGAACTTACTCCCCTAAACCGCTTCTGTTTTGTTTTGTTCCCCACTCCTTTATTCATGCTTGTAGAAGGGGTTTTCGAAACAGGGAATCAGATCACAGGTGTGCATCTTGCCCTTTTTTCTCTCTAGCTCATGCTGCTCAGCTAAAGCAACAGAACATACTGGCTGAGAGTGCCCTTCTGTCACCTGAAGCGGTATTGATCTGCTTACTGGCTTCATTATTTTTGAGAATAAGCCCAGGCTAGGATCTGGCAGATGCTGCTAACTCTATAATTTTATCAGTTCACATCTTTACTGAGTATCAAACCTGCAAGCCAGAAGGAAAATTTAATGTACACTTCCTGTGTAATAGATGGTTTAAGCAACCAGCAGATGGAACAAAACAAAACAGTCAATTCAATAATATCCTTTTGAGCAGCTTTATGCTTGATGTGGCTTTGCAGTTGTATAGAACAAAAGAATTACAACGCCAGCAGGCTTACTTATTTTGTCCAGGTATCAAACCCACAAAATTAACATTTTGTTTTGCCACCCACACTCCCTCCCTCCTTCCCTGCCTGCCTTCTTGCATTCATTCTCTCTACTCTCCTTCCTTCTTTCCTTCCCTCCTTCCTTCGAGGCAGGTAGCTTATTTTTCTCAATCAACTGGTGTACTTTGGAGAAAATACGCTTGTTTTGCAAAAGTGATTTCTCTAAAATTGATTTAAAGAATGTTAAAAATATGTGTCACTGTTACTTAAAGACAAAGAAAATCTAAATTCCACCAATATAGAGAAAAAAATATTCAAGGATAGTACAGCCAAAAGCAAAAAAGAAAAGAGATCCATGCCACTGAAAACAGATTTTTACATCAAGTTACAGTTAATGAAATAAGCAAGGTATTTCACTAGAAATGAAATATGAGCCTATAGATGGAAATCTGTGGTGCATAGTTGTGGAAATTATTTTTCTCTCACTACTGGTACTTATTATACTTACAGAAATAAATCTAACAATAAAGGATCAACCAAAGTAGGGAGGAAAGCAGATAAAGAGATGGATACAAGTTTGGGATCTGTGTTTTATAAGAAGAAAAAGTTTAAGATCTTTTAGGGATTAACAATAATGTATGAAAAGTTTCTCACCTGATGAAAACTGCAAGTAATTGGCATGAGTTATTCTACAAACAAGAAATATAGTACATGATTTTAGACACACTAGCTGTTGTGTAAGAATTTACACCTAATCCTTAGGATGGAGGCCTCTCAGTTGAGCAAAAATGTGTCACACCTCAGTGCTGCCTGTAACCTGCAGGCCTCAGCCCTGTTCAGATTAACACAGTCAACAATAAAGGAATGAGTATTGTTGCAGAAAAAAAAAAGAATTTACACCTAATAAAGAATGTTATACATAGAATTAAAATCTATCAAATGTAGATAAATTTCAATATATGGTGATTAGTCACTGATGTGGACATTGCTTTATTGTTAATAATAGTTAGAACAGGATTGAGGCCATTCTTTATTGGATAGGTTGAAGTTTTTAAGTATTTCCAGTGAGTTAGACCAGATAGTTGTTTTGAAGTCCTTGCACAATTTGTGATTTTTATTGTAAAATACTATGCAATGCTTAAATTGGTGCATAAGGTTTTTGGGCATCATCTTCATTATGGATTTTACCTTTGTGTAAAAAATTTGCTTTCCAAAACATTGTTTTCTTTGTCCAATTTTATGTTTATCATCAGAAATAACTTTTTCAGATAGTATTGCCAAGAATCCTTTTTTTTTCTTGCATGTAATTGATTCATCTATACTAGGTCCTTTGTTTTTAACTTTTTGGTGTGACCTATTGTCCTTGTGGTATTCAAAGACACTAATTTGAATTTTTAATTGCATTGATCTCGGTTTTAGTTATATAAAATTTTTAGTAATATTTATGGCTAGGAGAATTTTGTAGCCACATTTCAGACACTATTGAAATGGTATCTTATGTTATTTAGAAATGGATAGGAAAACACATTCAGTAGTTGGACAGAAAGCCTTGCATAAGATAGTATTATTAAGTAACAACCTATGGACAGCTTTTTATATTGCTAAGCCAATTACCAACTCTTCTAGTCTTTCAAATAAATGGAAAACAAGAAGATAGAAATAAATGAGCACCTGCATAAATACTTAAATTACTTTTCAATACAGAATAAGGCAAATGAAATAAAAATGCAGAGGCATTAAACATGCAGTGTTTTTAGTTCCGACTTAAAAATCTTTATTTTTTAAATTATGGTAAAAGTTGCTTATTTTATGAAAAATTTATTTTACTTTCTGGAGTGCTGTGAACTAATTCACCAGCCTTTTTTTCCGCCCTAGTCCTGGGGCTTCAACTCATGGCCTGGTCTCTGTCCCTGAGCCTCTTTGTGCTCATGGCTAGTGCTTTGCTACTTAAGCCACAGTGCCACTTCTGGCTTTTTCTGAGTAGTTTATTGGAGATAAAGTCTCACAGACTTTTACCCTGGCTAGCTTTGAACCGTGATCCTCAGACCTCATCTCCTGAGTAGTTAGGATTACAAGCATGAGCCACCGGTACCTGGCTAGCACAAAGGATTAGCAGACCATCGCCTTAACCACTTGGCCACCTCGTCATCTACGACAAGCCTTTTTATGGTTGGTCATGCAGAACAGTAATGGCTGCAATACTAGAATAATGATTTCTCTTTAGTTAATTTCCCATGCATTCAATTGCAGAAGTGAATTAAATTCTTTAAGTAATAACTCATTCTTAAACCAAGCCATAGGAGAAGAGGAAAAGTAGAGCAATATTACTGATTTACTGATGATGATAAAGGGTTTTGAATATCAGAGCCAATTGTGATGAGCCCTTTAGGATTCAGTAACTCTGTCAGGAAGGTTCTAGAATGTGGCCTACATTGTATAGAATGTGGGAAAAGCACACCTTACCTAAGTGAATGTGTCTAAGAAAAGGAGCCACATCCTACCTGCTTTAACAGTGCCTGGGGATGTCCTATTAGTTGGTTTCAGAGAAATCAGGAAACTAGACAGAAAGATTCAGACTGCTTCCCTGGGCCCATGGAAGAGAAAGAAAGCATCTGGCTGTTAGAAAACTGCTGGCCTCGTGGTGAGTTCCAGCTATTAGATACCATGTTGTTGCAGCTTCTTAGTGTCACAAATCAGAAGTAGACTGTTAATAAAGCAGAAGTTGTAGAGATGGGACCAGAAGTGGCCAAAGAATCTTCCTACTGTTATGTAAACTGATTGCATCCTCCCTGCAGCACTCCATTTAAACACATGTTTTATTTTTTACAACAAAAGCGATCAAGAAGAAAAAAATCAAATAGGATTCCTATTAACACAAATAAATGTTCACTCTCTTTTGTTACTCCTTGTACATGGAAGACAAAGCCTGCAGAGAGGTCTTTATCTGGTGGACCATTTAGTTAAAACAAAGACCTTAATTAATCTACTAATTAAACTGTCTGCAATAGCATAGTCCTCTCTGACTCTTGAAAATAGCACCATTGGCTTATGCCTGTAATACTGCCTACTTAGGAGGCTAAGATCTGAGGATTGCTGTTTGAAGCCAGCCTGGTCAGAAAAGTCTGTAAGACTTACATTTCCAATTAGCTAGCAAAATAACCAAACCAAAAAAAAAGCACCCCCAAAACAAAAACAACAACAACAAAAAACAAACTGTAAATGGAGGTGTGACTTAACTGGCATAATGCCAGCCTTAAACAAAAAAAGCTCAAGGACAGAATCCAGGTCCTGAGTTTAAGCTCTAGTACCAGTGTATGCATACGCATATATGAAAGAAAAAAAGAGGAAACAAAATAGCATTATGAACAGATCTACATTATATGACATATATTGATATGGTCTTATTTCACTCCATTGCAAGTAGATGGCTGAAAGGTCTAACTTCAAGACTAAATATTTACTTTCTGCCAGCTCTCTAGTCATCAAAATTCTATTATGAGTTAGTGAGCAGCAATAAAGGCTCCTACTGCTCTTGGGTTTGTAAGGTTTCCATGAAAGACAACATTATGGACTGGTGCTTTGTTCCTTCTCACAGGTGGATGAGGTCATGCTGACCCTGAAGCAGGCATTCAGCACGGCGGCTGCACTGCAGAGTGCCAAGACGCAGATCAAGCTGTGTGAAGCCTGCCCCATGCACTCTTTGCATAAGCTCTGTGAGAGGATCGAAGGTATGGTAGAACGTGGCCTTGGCACTGGAAGAGTTTGCTTTGGCATTTGCTTATGAGAAAGTCTGCGCCATCACCGAATAGTTCTTTGTGTCTATGGGAACCAGAGCTCTGTATGCTGTTCTCATGCCCAGCCTCATCTGAGTGTGCTGTCAGTCTCTTCTGGGTGCTTGGCCTTTTCTCTCCCTTCCTTTCTTTCTTTTTCTTTTTTGAAGACAAACTCATGGGAGGGACTTGTATTTCCCACAGTTCTTAAGACTCTGCAAAGTGCATGCTGGGAAGTGGTCAAATATTTATTGAATGAATCAAGACAGACAAAACCATCTCAGACTGTTTATTTCTTCCTTTGATTCTCTCCCCCTTGGTGATGTGTTCCTTTTCTCTAAAGGTTGAGAACTTCGATGAAACAGGATTGGCTTTTGGGGGGGGGCGCAATTGTGAATGACAGAGATAATGGTGGTGATATTATGAAGCAGGATTTTTTGTTTGTTTGTTTGTGTGCTGATATTAGGGCTTGAACTCAGGACCTTGAACTCTTACTTGGCTTTTTACTTTTAACTCAAGTTTAGTGCTTAGTTGAGCTACACCTTGAGCTCTTACTTGGCTTTTTTTTTTTAAACAAACAAACTCAAGTTTAGTGCACAGTTGAGCTAGCCCTCCATGTGTATATAGCAAAATGGCACAGAGCTGGGTGTTGGTGGCTCATGCTTGTTATCCTAGGTGCTCAGGAGACTGAGATCAGATGATTGTGGTTTGAGCCAACTCGGACAGAAAAGTCTATGAAACTTATCTCCACTTAGTGAACAAAAAGCCAGAAGCAAAAAGCTGGAAGCAGAGTCCCAGCCTTGAGCAAGAAAACAAGTAAGAGCATAAGGTCTCAAGTTCAAGCACCAGTATCAGCAAGCATATACACATGCATTCACTTATGCATGCATGTACGTACAGACACACACACACACACACACACACACACACACACAAATGCAGTTTGGGAGTTGTTTAGTGGCTGTAATTGCAGGTTGTGATTTCCGTCTGTTGGCAGCAGGCAGAGGTGGATGTAACAATAGTGCTAAACTGCAGTGTGTATTAGTCATCTATACAACTGTACCATCCAAGACTATGTCAGTGTTGTATTCACATTTTAATACATGATTTTATAGAATGCAATTCATTTTGAAGCATACAGAAGTGGAGCATTCTTTTGTGTATGGTCAAGGAAGCATTGCAAATCTATGTGTGTGTAGGGAGCTACATTACCAAGGAGATGGTATTGGATCAATCAGCTATGCAAAGGGAGAAAGATCTTTTTCATTTATTCATCTTAAAAGTCATTCTAGATGGTTCAAAATCCTCAGTGTAAAGAAACTAAATTGCAAAATCATTAAAAGAAAAGACTCAGGGCATGGTGGCACATACCTGTAACCCCAGCACTCAGGGAGCTAAGGTAAGAGAATAGGTTGAGTTAGCCTGGGGTACATAGATCCTGCCACAAACAAACAAATAAACAAACTTCTTATTCCTTGAGGAAGAAAGATTTTATTAAAGTAAAAGAATGCAAAAGAAAAAATCCCTATTAATTTGACTTGGTGAAAAGTTTCAAGTGTTTATATGGCAAAAGTTATTTAATGGAAATAAAATTAAAAGTAATGAATAAGAAGATAGAAAAGAGAACAACTTATTAGTAGGAGATTGTGCACATCTTTTGTTGTTATTTCTTTGTGCAGTCTTGGGGCTTGAATCTAGGCCTGAGTTCTGTCTTTGAGCTTTTTTTGCTCAAGGCTAGTGTTCTACTACTTGAGTTACAGCTTAACTTCCAGCTTTTGTGGTGGTTAATTGGAGATAAGAGTCTCATAGACTTCCCTGCCCTGGCTGGCTCTTCTCATCTCTTAGCCTACTGTGTAGCTAGGATTACAGGCATGATCTCTCAATGCCCAGCCATTGCGAATATCTTATATAGCGTAACCCAAGGAGGAGAAAAGACAATTGAAACACTTCATTTGATGTTCATTCACTACTTATTTTTTTCGAGGCCAATTTTGTTGTACATGGTTATGGTTACTTTGGTTTTCCACAGCCCATAGGCAGCCTTTTAGCAAACATTTCTTATAATATATCTGAGAGCCTCTTAAAATTTTTTAAACTTATCATTAAGTAGTTGTAAAAGAGGTTTCAATTCCTAGTGTCAATTTCTTGTACAGTGCCTCTTGATCAGTGTCATTCCTTCCAGCACTCTCCTCCATTGACTGAGAGCATTTTTTTCAGAAAAAAATAAGCTAGAGTCATGAGTGCTATCTTTCTACCCAGATGGATGTTAGCTCTCTGCATAAAGATTTATGCTGAATGTTGGACAAAGAGAGAAGTTGCTGAGAAGTATGTATACCACTCTGCTCCCATTCTTTTCCTGCATAGGGACTACAGGCAGGTACAGGTGTGGCCAGGCCATTGTGGGTCAGCTCTGCATGCATTCTGTCAGTCATGAGGTGGATTTCCTTCTAAGAAACATGTATTTTTTTAAAAGAGAAAAAAAGACACATGTATTTTAACGTAATTTTTTCCTATGATGTTTGTAAAGATAAGGAGAGTGCTTTAAAAACATGGCTAAAATGTGAGCAGGTGTATCAATTTACTTCAACTATCTTTCACCTTGTCGTTTCTTAGAAAATACAGTTAGAAAACCTTCTGATATACCTATCTTAGAATATATTCTTTATTTCTAAAATATACAACTTAGTAAGACAAGTGATAAGAAAATATTTTCAGTCAATTACTTTGTCTTACTGTTTATTAATAATGGTGAATACGTATAAATTATTCAAATTATGGCTCAATGTCATGTAATGAAGTGCTTTCATTATACCTTAGAAAAGATAGTTTTAAAATAGTCAGTGAGGAAGTGGCGCTGTAGCTCAAGTGGTAGAGTGCTTGCCTTGAGCTGGAGAGCTGAGGGACAGTGCCCAGGCCCAGAGTTCAAGCCCCATGACCGACCAAAAAAAAAAAAACCAAAACAATAAAATAGTCAGTGATTTTTAGGATACCAATCCAGCTGCAAGGTTTATTAAGTATTCTATATATCCTTTATGTCCTCTTTATAATCAAGATGTAAGTATATTAGAAATGACAACCAGCCATGGAATGGAAATTTGTTCCTTAGGAACAGAGTTGAATCATTGTAAGTATAAATTGAACTTTTCCATTTTGAAAAGGGTTCTAAGAAAGTTTTTCATGGAAAAATTTTCCTCAGGGATTTATTATAAATTATGTACAAAAATGTGAACGATTTGCTGGTTCTGGTGACATACACCTATAATCCCACCACTTGGAAAGCTGAGGCAGGAGGGTCTTAAGACCTGAGCCAATGTGGCCTACAGAGTGAGACAATGCTTACAAAAACTAAAAAGCAGAAAAATTATAACTATCACAATATAAAGAAGTAAACATTTTTGACAAAAATAGTAACATTACAAGTATACTTAACACAAAAAGGAAATTTGATGAAAGGGACTCCTGATTCAGCTAGAGTTCTGCTTTTTGATATGATGATGATAATGATAATAATAATATAATATTATATAATAGTAATAGTAATTGTTCTTTACAAACTATTAGAGTATAAATGCAGAGATTTTTGGCCAAGGCTAGCATTTAGCTTTTATCTAACAGTTCCGAGATTTACCTTGGAATTCCCGTGGTGGCTACTTTTACTAGTTACATTAAGTGGTATCTGGTTGTGTCTGACACAAGTAAAGTTCTTCATTATATTAAAATCCTTTGTCAGTGATTCTAACCGTAGGATCACTGTAGGAGGCTGTTACTTTGAGTGGAGCAGTTTGACTTCAGGTTTTAAATGACTTCAGTGTTGGGAACAAGGGTTTGTTGTGGAAGACTAACTTAAGGCTGGCTGGAGAAGATTAAGTGTGATGCTCATTGCAAGGTACACACTTTGATCTTTGTGTCCAGCCTCCACCTCATTCCTGTCCTCCTCCTTCCCTTCAGGTCTCTACCCACCAAGAGCCAAACTGGTGATCCAGAGACATCTCTCATCACTGACAGATAATGAGCAAGCTGACATCTTTGAGCGAGTTCAGGTACCATCATTGGTAGTTGTCATAAACTCAGTATAAATAAAGAATGAGAGTTGGGTCTTGATGTTGTCAGTTCTTTTGTACTTCTGTCTGAAGTTAAAAAAATACATATGTCTTGGGGGGGACTGACTGTTGGGTAGAACTGGAAAGCCATTGCTACACGGATGTTTATAGATGAAGCAAAGTGAGAATCAAGAAAGAAGAGAGAGGCTGGGCTGCCCTGTGTGCACTCTCCTGATCTGTCTTCTCAACAGAAAATGAAGCCCATAAGTGACCAGGAAGAAAATGAACTGGTGATCTTGCACCTGCGGCAGCTGTGTGAGAGCAAGCAGAAGACACACGTGCATACTGGGGAAGGGCCAGCCGTGTCGGTGAGATGTTTCTTCCTTGACCTCTGGGCGTCGGGTCTTGTAGGTGCACAGGAAACAGGAAGGAGCTCTTTCCTTGGTGCTCTCCTCTTTTTCAGCTCTAGATCCTATCAGATTCCCACTTCCCTGCATTGTAAAAGACTTACAGCAGTGCAGTAGGCCCATGCACATGGGGCTAAAAGAATTCCAGTCCTCAAATTTAAGAGTATCTGTGGACTTGGGCTAAAATCACAGTCAACTATGTTCAGAATGTCATGCTGTAGAATGAATGCGGGTTCTTAGTTATATTAATCTACGATATCTTGAAATTTGGATGTTTTAGTTCATCAGAAGCTTAGACTGAGAGGACTAAACACGGTGAAGGCAAGGGTGATATGTGAGCAGGTATCTAGGTGCAAACTAAGAGATGCTATTCCTCCTTTTCTTCTCTCTTTCCCTTCCCTTTCCTTCCCTTCCCTGTTCCCTTCCTTTTCCTGTTCCCTTCCCTTCCCTTTCCTGTTCCCTTCCTTTCCTTTCCCTTCACTCCCTTCCACTCCTTTTCTTTTCTTTTCATTTATCTTCTGTACTGATACTTAGGCTTGTACTCTCACTTGGCTTTTTTATTCAAGACTGGCACTCTACCACTTGAGCCATGCTACCATGACTGACTTTTGTGCCAGTTAATTGGAGATAAGAGTCCCATGGATTTGTCTTGCCTGGGCTGGCTTTGAGCTTTGATTCTTAGAGCTAGTCCTCCTCAGTAGCTAGGATTATAGGCATGAACCACCAGTGCCTGGCAAGGATGCCATTTCTATGTTCATGATTTAGGACTTATTCCCAGCTGAACAGAGATAAAGCAAGATCATTACAGAGCATTGAAGGGCTTCATATGTCTATCTCTCAAGAGCACTAACTCTGGTAATGTCTTACTTTACTTTATTTTTTATATGACTAACTCCCTCCATGCCCTAACAGAGTCTCCCTCTGTAGCCCAGGTTAGCTCAAACTCACACTCTTCCTGCCTCAACCTCCTGAGCAATAGACAGGATTACAGGCATACACAGCCATGTTTGGCTTTGCGCTAATAGCTTGTTGATTTGATAGAGCCAGCAATGGTGTGAGCCCCATTAGTACTGCATGCACCGAAGTCTCTCATCTAGTTTTGTCTTTTGGTCTCTCATTTCTCTCACCTTTTAGATGTTTTCAAATACTGTTTGGAGAGAAATTCCCCTAAAAAGTGGCTTTCACAAAAATGCTTCTCTTGTTATAAATTCAGACCAGTGTTCTTCCTGTTTACTTGGTTTTCAAAATCATTCTGGGGCTTTCCTCTGGCCTCACATGCTCAAGATGCTTCCCAGTACTCTAGTCCGTTACCTCACTGACTCCCTAGCCTGGGTTAGGTCATTGTGACTTTGCAATACACACCCCTCAGTTCTGAGAGAGACTGTCTCTATTCTCTTGTCTCTCTGAATCCTGTGCATGCTTTTTTCCTCTGACCAGTGAGACCAGCCTTTATGCTCGTGTACTTATATGTACTCTGATTTATTCTTCCCTTCCTTAATGAATTATAAACTTTATTTAATTTATTTTTTATCACTAGCTGGATGCTGGTGGATCTTGTAATCCTACTGCTGGATGCTTATAATCCTAGTTACTCAGAAGGTTGAGGTTTGAGGATCACTGTTTGAAGCCAGTCCAGGCAGGAAAGTCTGTGAGATTCTTATCTCCAATTAACCAGTTAACAGCCAAAAGTGGAGCTGTGACTCAAGCGGTAGAGTGGCAGCCTTGAGGAAAAAAAAGTCAAGCAAGAGCAGGAGGCCTTAGCCAGGCGCTGGTGGCTCAAGCCTGTAATCCTAGCTACTCAGGAGGCTGAGATCTGAGGATCGCAGTTCAAAGCCAGCCCGGGCAGGAGAGACCGTGAGACTCCTATCTCAAAAAAACCACCAGAAAACCAGAAGTGGCGCTGCAGCTCAAGTGGTAGAGCGCTCGCCTTGAGCTGAAGAGCTGAGGGACAGCGCCCAGGCCCAGAGTTCAAGCCCCATGACCGACAAAAAAAAAAAAAAAAAGAGCAGGAGGCCTTGAGTTCAAGTTTTATCACTGGCATTAATTAATTAATTAATTAAACCATTGAGGACCAGGTAATAATATACATAATAGTTTCATACTTCAATGGGATAAAAAATCCAGGTAGGTAGAGTTGGAAGAGGGAAGGATAGTAGGAGAAAAACAAAGGAGGGGGGTAACAATGATCGACAAGAAATGGTACTCATGACCTTATTCATGTAACTGTTACCCCTCTGTTCAGCATCTTTACAATAAAATGAAATAAAAAAATACAGGGAACCTAATACATTAGAGTACATGTCATAGCCTCTCATATGGTTGATAGTGTTATTGATGAATACTTGCTGTTCCAAATGAAATCACGCCAAGGCATTGTTACAATTCAGTTTGTTTGCAAGGTGTTCTTCTTTTTGAAGTGGGTTCCTTCCTGTGTTTTACTCAATAATTTGGATAGAAAGCATGTGTATTGGGAAGGGGTAATGGGAGTTAATGGAAATACTAAGAGAAATTGACATCTGAAGTTTAAGGTTTGTGAAATGAAGCAAGAATATGTGAATGGAAAAGATAAGCATGAAGGAAAATATTTCCTTTTATTACAATATAAAACTGTTGCCTTATAATTTTTTGTTCACCATATAGAACTTAAATCATTACTTCTTAACACAATAATGCAAGTACAGAAGAATTCTTGTGGTTTTTTTAATGCCTCAGTCTATTTTTTTTTTTTTTTGGTGCTGGTTCTGGGGCTTGAACTTAGGGCCAGGGTGCTGTCTCTGAGCTTTGGTGCTCCAGGCTAACTCTCTACCACTTGAGCTACAGTCCCAATTCTGGCCTTTTATTGGTGGTTATTGGAGATAAGAGTCTCATGGACTTTCCTGCCCAGACTGGCTTTGAACTGTGATCCTCAGAGTTCATCCTTCTAAGTAGCTAGAATTTACAGTGTGAGCCACCACTGTCTGGCTAATGGCTTAGTGTTAATCTTGTATTAAAACCTCATTTAATTTTGAATATGTCCAAACTCACACTTTTCTTTTTCTCTTTCTTTAGAATATTTCAAATAGTACAATCCCAGAAAATGTAACGAGTGGCGGAAGATTCAAGCTGGACATTTTGAAAAATAAAGCAAAGAGATCCTTAACCAGCTCCCTGGAAAATATCTTCTCAAGGGTAAGTGGAAACTGAGTTTCTTTTAGGTAAACATACCTATGTTTTCTGACTGTCTTGCTTCATTCTAAAGAAATATTTCCTTAAACAGCCAAATAAGAAAAACCTATTAAAATAACTTTAATTTAGCTACTACTTTACGACAGTTTCTTACAGGCATATACCTGTAACCCCATCACTTAGGAGGCAGAGGCAGGAGGGTGATAAACTGTAGCCCGGCTAGGCCTATGTAGTGAGATCTGTCTCAACACCCCCTACCCCCACCTCCAGCCCGCCCCGAAAAAGATCCTTGAATCTTAGCTTATGAGTAGCTAGAAGTACAGGTGTGAACCACTGGCACCCAGCATTAGAGTACAGTTGTAGAGTGGGTTTGTTTTTCTTTGTGTAAGCTTTTCTGTTTTCAGGAGGCTGAGATCTGAGGATAGGGGTTGGAAGTCTATGAGACTCATCTCTAATAAACTAATCAGCAAAAGTTGGATGTAGTGCTGAGGCTCAAGTGGTAGAGTGCTAGCCTTGAGCACAAAGAGGCTCAGGACAGCACCCAGGCCTTGAGTTCACGTGCCAGAAACTGTAATCAATCAATCAAATCTAAAAAATTAGAAAATCCAGTTACATAGGTGTTCAGGGAACTTGAGGGTAAGACCCAGCCTTTATAGTCTTATGTTTATGAACTAGGATGATTTTTTTACCCTTTCTATTTTTTTATTTCTCTCTTCTCCCTCTCTCCTTCCCTCTTTCTGACTTTGTTCTCTCTCTCCCTCCTTCTCTTTCACCGTGGCCCCCCCAAACTATTCCCCCCCACCACTATTGGAGCTCCAATTCAGGGCCTGAGTGAGCTCTCTTTTGGATTTTTTTTTTTTGTTAAGGCTAGTAGTCTGGCACTTGTGTTGTACTTCCACTTCCAGCTTTTTGCTGGTTAATTGGAAATAAGAGTCTCACAACCTTTTCTGCCTGAACTGGCTTGGAATTGTGATTCAGATCTCAGCTTCCTGAGTAGCATTATAAACGTGATACCAGCATCCAGCTTCGTATTTCCCTTCTTTAAGTCATAGTGTCTTCATTTATAAAATGTGCATAGTAATACTGTCTCACCTCATATTATCAAAACAATTAACTGTTATGTAAAGGTGCTAAGCAAATACATTATATGGGTCTGAAGTGATACATGCAATGGTAAGCTCAGAACTGTCGCCATTTTACAAAGCACCCAGTGGGTATTTAGAGTCTTGCTCTATATCTATTTAGCACCTTGGCGTTCTGTGTGGTGCCTGCATGGCTGACTTTGAAGTGATTCCTACCACATGCCTTGAATTGCTGGTGTGTCTCTCAGCAAGAGCACGGCCAATCTATTTTGGCCAAGGTGCATTCTGTAGCTTTTGTCTCCAGGAGTAATGCCAAGAACCATATATTTTGTGACCTAACAAGGTCTCGCTCTCTTCGTGTGTGGTAGAATGAACTTGTTAGGAAGGCCGGCAGCTCCCTCTCTATAAAGGGTTGCATAGAAACATCAAGGCTTCGCAATACAATTTCTCAGTTTTTTCCAAGCTGTATAATAGAAAATTACTCACACTTGAATCATACAGCTCTGCTTACAATTGCTGTCATTGTTATATGTCAAAATATTTTATTTAATGCACTGTAACTGTTCATGAAGTAGGCTCATTTTCTAAAGTGTTTAGAAGCTCAACTCATTAACACTAGACAATGAATGCAAAGGAAAGGGCATGGCCCGGGAATAAAATCAGACTGTAGGAAAATGGCAAAGGCTATCTGCTCCAAGGTGAAAGACAGAATGTTGTATTCTGGTTCCTGGCTGCTGTTTGTTCAGTTGAAAATTTCCAAAATAGTTCTTTTTTTTTTTTTTTTTAAAGTCAGTTGTGGGGATTGAACTCCAGGCTTGGGTCCTGTCTTTGAGCCACAATGCCACTTCTGGTTTTTTGGTGATTTACTGGAGATAGGAGTCTCCAACTTTCCTGCCTGGGCTGGCTTTGAACCACGATCCTCAGATCTCAGCCTCCTGAGTAGTTAGGATTACAGGCGTGAGACACCGGCACCTGACTTCCAAAGTAGTTCTTAATATAAAATATGAGTCATCCTTCTTCAGAATAATTTCTATTGTCTGTGGCAATAAGAGAACCAACAATAGTGGTTGAGTACAATTTGTGTGTGTGTGTTGAACTCAGTCCTCATACTTGCTTGGCTTGCTTGATCAGATCGTGATCTGCTTCCAGCTCAGATTTTTGCTACTTAATTGGAGATAGAGTTGTGGGGACTTTTCTGTTCCAATTGTCTTTGAACCTCAATCGTCTGGATCCTAGCCCTCTGAGTAGCTTTAGAATTACTGGCACCCAGCATTAGAGTACAATTTTAAAATAGGTCTGTTTTTCTTTGTGTAAACAAACACACAAGGATAAAACAGTAATTAATATACATGAGTTAAATTGCATTATGTTTTTATTATTGTTGTTCCCATCTTAAAGCTTGAACTCAGGACCTGGGTGCTATCCCTGAACTTTTTTGATCAAGGGTAGTGCCCTACTACTTGAGCCACATCTGGCTTTTTAGGTGTTTAATTGGAGATAAGAGTCTCAAAGGCTGCATGGGCTGGCTCTGAAGGTAAGTAGCTAAGATCATAGATGTGAGCCACTGGTGGCCAACTTTAAATTGCCTTGTAATAATGAAAATAGTTCAGAATCCATTTGAGTATTGTCATCAAGTCATCAAATCACCATGCAGGTTGGCATGTAAGTAGCAGCTAAAAATAGCAGAAAACAGCCTGGTCTGTACTATGTTTTCCTCATGGCCCCACATAGTAACCCAGTGATTTACTAGCCACAAATAGAGTTTATTATTAGATGTATAAAGTTAGTTACAGCATAGTGTTGAAGAACTAAAATAACCTTGATGTCTGCAAAATTCCACTTAATTACCACAGGCGAATTAATTTTATTGTGAGGTTATCTTTCACAAAGCTCTCCCTTAGGAAGGCAGTATGGGAAGAAGGCGCTCAAGCGCTTGGCTTTTATAGTGTGAGTTCTGTGTTTGCAAGGCTGCTATTTTTACTGGCTAGGTAGATTTTGGACAGCACAACCTATCAGAAGTTCACTCTCTTTGTTTGTGAAGTTGAGCTGAATAATTATATCAACCTAAAAAATTGTTGTGAAGATTAAATGATATAATAATACTGTGGGAAAATGCCTGTCACAGCATATTGCCCATCAGAGGCAACTCTGAATTTGTATTATTGATACAGTTGTTGTCGTAAAGTCAACCTAGGGGAATAGGAAACTGTGACTAATGCAGAATATACAGATAAAAATAAAAATTGCTTCTATTAAACAAATTAGGATGTTTCCAATATAAAATAATTTACAGGGCTGGGAAGGTGGCTCAGTGGTTAAAGCGCTTGCCTTGCATGCCTGAGGCCCTGGGTTCGATTCCTCAGCACCACATTAGCAAAAACAAAAAAGCCAGAAGTGGCGCTGTGGTTCAAGTGGTAGAGCGCTAGCCTTCAGCTGAAGAGCTTAGGGACAGTGCCCAGGCCCAGAGTTCAGGCCCCATGACCGGACCCAAAAAAAAAAAATTAACAAAGAATAAGAAAGAATTGTTAAAAAAAAATACGTGATGGGCTGGGAAGGTGGCTTAGTGGTAGAGTGCTTGCCTGGCATGCATGAAGCCCTGGGTTTGATTCCTCATTATCACATAGAGAGAAAAATCCAGAAGTGGAGCTTTGGCTCAAGTGATAGTGCTAGCTTTGAGCAAAAGAAGCTCAGGGACAGTGTCCAGGCCCTGAGTTCAAGCCTCAGGACTTACAAAACAAAACAAAACAAAATGAAACATGTGATCTTAATTATACACAAAATAAGAATCTAGTAAGAAACTAGGAAGCTAGAACTGAAAAAAAATCTTCTGGAAAACAGAACACAATGGTAAAGCAATGGAAAAATAGAACAAGGTCATAAGTGAACAGGTGTGTTACAGCCTGGAAATAAAAATCTCAAAGGTTAGCAGCTCCAAGAAGCAACACGGCATGCTGGGAATTTTCAGAGTAGTAATTTTGAAAGTTTCTTAGAGCTAGAGCACATGTCTTTCACCAGATTTAATGAGCTCAGAAAGTACACATTTGTTTTGTGTCAGGTCCGGACACATAGTTGTGAAATTTCAGAATGACCAAGAGTAAACTTAGATTTAGCTCCAGAGAGAAACATCTGCTCATATACAAAGGCTCTAACCAAGGTTAAAATGGCAAGTATTATTATAGAATACTGACATCTGCAGATATATAAATGAAAATGTTCATCCTCCACAGTAGGACTCCAACAGACAGTGCCAGAAAGGGAAAGATTAGGCAGCACTAGAAGCATCAGTATAAACCAATTCTAAATTTGTTTTTGGGAAATAAGGATCAAAGTGTGAATGAGTTAGTGATCACCCTTTTTTTCATGATGAGCTTTGATAGCACAAACATTGAAGCTAGCTGATAGCCAATTTAGAGTGAAGTAATTTACTGAAGTAGTTTTGCATTATAGTTAATAAAGCAAAATTAATAAATTTTACAAGGCAGTCTCTCCTCCCTTTTCCTCCCTCCCTCCCTCCTCCCTCCCTCCTCCCTGTCTCTCTTTCTCTTCCTTTCTTTCTTCCTTCCTTCTTTTCTTTCTTTCTCTCTCTTTCTTTCCCTCTCACTTCTTCTCTCTTCTATCCCCCTCTTCTCCCTTCCTCTCCCCTTCCCTTCTCTTCTTTTCCTTCCCATCCCCTCTCTTCCCCTGCCTTTCCTCTCTTTTCTTTTCCCCTCTCTCCCTGCCCCTTCTTCCATTCCCTTATCTTCCCACCTCCCTTCCTGTCCCCTCTCTCAACTCCAGACTGGCTTTGAACTGGTTATTAGCCCAGGCTGTCCTCAAACTTAAAAAAAAATACTTTATTGTAAAGATTCTGTACAAAGAGGTAACAGTTAGATGAGTAAGGTGATGAATACATTTCTTGTCAAATATTGTTACCCACTTCTTTGGGTTTTTTTTCCTACTATCCCTCCCACCCCCACCGAAGTTGTAAAGATCATTTCCAATATACTGTCCTGTGAGTATCATTGTTACAATGGGTCATCCTGTGTCCTTGATTTAGTGTTTTATTATCCCCCTTCCCCTCCCCAAATTAGACAAATGTATATACAAGATGCAGGGCACCCAAATCAAATATAGTGACAGCAGGCAATATACATAAGGGGAAGAACATACAAAGGAAACAAAAAAAATCACACAGTATATTAAAAACAACAACAACAAAGGAAAACCTCTTGTGTCCATATCTTGGGATTCAGTTTGCTTAGCATCATCTTGTATGGTCATGTGTTCTCCTACCTCAGCCTCTTATAAATTGGGATTATGTTCTATTTCTTTTTAACCCACTTATTATAATCCTTAAAATGTGGATTATATTATCTCTAGTGTGTGGTATGAAGGTTGTTTATATTAAAATATTACCTTTATGACTTTTTGGTTTATTTTAATGTACCTTCCACATTTGTATTCAGTTCTCACTGATGTCCTGGTAACCTTGGAACCAAAATATCTTCAAAAAGTTTCATCTTAGGTCTTATTATCTAGCCTCTGACATAAACCTGATAGAAATAGGGTGGGAATACTTTCACTTACCCCAGCTCTGTGTGTGTGTGTGTGTGCGTGTGTGTGTGTGTGTGTGTGTGTGTGTATGTGTGTGTGTGTGTGTGGCAGATTTGATTGGACCCTCAAAGGATTAAATTTTGCTCATATGGAGTGGCAACCTCAAATTACTTTGCATAAAAAGAATTTGGAAGTAAAAATGCAAACCAAATAAAGGATTGTTTTTATTCTCTTCACCTAGGGAGCTAACAGAATGAGAGGTCGACTTGGAAGTATGGACAGCTTTGAGCGGTCTAACAGTCTCGCATCAGAGAAGGTATCTGATCAGAGCTTCCTAACTGTGACTCAGCAAACCCCAACACTGATATGGTACCCTGCATGCCTTATTGGTTTATAGTGGGACTTTATGGCTTTAAGAAACTTGTTTTGTGCCAGTATTGGGGCTTACACCCATGGGCTGGGTGATGTCTCTTAGCTTTTGCATTCTACCCCTTGAGTCACTGCTCCAGTTCTGGAAGTGCATTTAATTGAGATGAGAGTGTCACCGACTTTGCTGCCCAGGCTAACTTGGAACCATCCTAGAGCTCATCCTGTTGAGTACTTAGGATTGTAGGTGTGAACCACTCAGCATGTGGCTTCCTTTGTGGCTTTAAAAAATATGTATGTGAGGCTTTATTATTTTAAATGAAACACTTCTGAGTATGAACGTGTTATTCATGCAGTCACGCTTTATTCATGTTGGGTAGAACGCATCCTATATAGTCTATGTCATATAAGGCTTTTTTTTTTTTTTGGGTCCAGTTGTGGGGCCTGAACTCTGGGCCTGGGCACTGTCCCTCAGCTCTTCAGCTCAAGGCTAGTGCTCTACTACTTGAGTCACAGCGCCACTTCTGGCTTTTTTTTTCGTTTTGCTTATGTGGTGCTGAGGAATCGAACCCAGGGCCTCAGGCATGCAAGGCAAATGCTCTACCACTGAGCCACCTTCCCAGCCCCCATATAAGGTTTTTTACTGTTTGTAGATTCATGCTTCGGCGGACAATATTGAACAACTGTTGATCCAAAGCCGTATAGAATGAGTCATGTAATTCCTCTACTTACATATTGATTTCTGTGGTTGTTTTCCCATGCTCCTTTTCTTCCTCAATTTTTTATCATTTCAACTGCAGCATTAGCCTCTTTATCTCATAGACAACTCTCAGTAGGTTTGGTTTCCTGTTTCCTGCATTGTACAACATGTAACCTGTAGCAAGGGCAACCTTTTTTTTTTTTAATAAATGGAAAACTATGAAACTATTTTTATTAAATTTTTGTTGATGAATTGGGGATTTGGGTAGCTATGAGTCTGTTATCCCTAAGCCATTGTTTATCAAGCTAAACCTTCAGCAAGGGATGGCTGTTTCATAAAGTATAAACAGCATACCTGACTGAATTGCAAGATTTATGTCTCTTCGTGCAGTGGGCGATGCATTCCAACCCAACTCAGATTACAATTCATTTCCTGTTTTTCTTGTCTTTTCAAAAGAAATCTCCCCCAGGGATCATGTAGTGGGGCTGAAACATCTAGCATGGAGGTAGATACTTTCCAGGCTTGATTTTATTTTCCTGAAGGCTTGGCTATGAGACCTGGACGCTTAGGCCCTGGGATATTGTTTTGACAGTACAGGAAGCATGTAGCAGATCTGTCACGGAAATTAAGAGATAGGCACACACCGACACCACCCTCTTGAGGTCATGATCTCTTTTCATCCTGAGGCACCCGATGAGAACAGTACAGTCTAGCTGTGACATTTCACCACAGCCTTGGGGGAGGGGGACGTGTGTGTGAAGAATACCTTCTCTTATCACCTCTTAAACTAGCTCTACAATACTCTTGTACAGCTGCTTATCAGAAGGAAAGGGTTGTGTTAGAACCGATTAGCCTTGCCTATGGATTGAGCAAAAGAACAAGAACACGAAATCGAAAACTCCTTCAGTGCTGAGTGAGGACGACCAGGCGCCCCGTAAGGAGTGAGCCCGGGACGGGTCTGCTGTGACCTCTCTGGTGCTTGTGTGTTTCAGGACTACTCCCCAGGGGACTCTCCTCCAGGAACCCCACCAGCCTCGCCCCTGTCCTCTGCCTGGCAAGCCTTCCCTGAGGAAGATTCGGACTCCCCGCAGTTCCGAAGACGGGCGCACACCTTCAGCCACCCTCCTTCGAGCAGCAGGAGAAAGCTGAACCTCCAGGATGGCAGGGCCCCCGGGGTGCGCTCACCTCTGCTGAGGCAGAGCTCCAGCGAGCAGTGCAGGTAAGCTGGGGCCCTTCCCCAGGACAAAGGAAGCCACATTCTCTTGCCGTGGTTGGGTCATTCTGGAGTCCTGGAGGATGGAGACTGCATGGTTGAGCTAACTTTTAGGTTGTACCAAGACCCTAGGAATATGTAGGATGGGCTTATTACTTAAGTGGCTAGGGGAAATGGGCCAAGGTTCAAGGTTCATCCAGAGAGAAGAGTTAATGCGGTTTGAATAGACAGTGATGCTCTTGTCCAACCCTTCCAGAGAAAGACAGCAAAATACCATGCAACTGTTTAGTCTGAAAACGTACTCAGTGGACCCCATAATGATGGTTTTAAGCTAGCAAGGTCACTACAAGTGAAGAGGATAGCTTACAGCAAAATACCAGGTTACCATCATTGCCTAAGTTACTTTTGTGCATGTATTTCCACTGTATTTTATTTTATAATAAAGTAAAGCGAAGTACGAAAAGGACTGCAAACTCTATAAAAAAAAGTGATCTAAAAAGACTATCTGTCCTCGCTATTATAGGCAATGTATATTTGAAATTATCTTGCATGACCATTTAAAAATAACACAATAGTCTGAGATTTGGTAAGAAATTGTAGGATGATTCTACTTGTTACTGTACAGCATAGATTAGGAATTATATTTTAGATATTTATATCTTAGAAGGAATATGATAAATTCGTTCCTTTTTTGGGTCTCTTTCTGCACCTATTTGATACAAGGTTGAATGAGATGCTTATTTGAGAAATGAATAGCAACTAAATTTTAAGACAAAAATTTTTATATAAAATAGTATATTATGCGAATGGCATGTCTTGGAGGGTATGGTTGGATTCTTACTGTTTTCTGAATGTAGAAGTCTGGTACTTCTGATATAAAAATAGAATAAGCCCAGAGGATTCATTATTATCAGATTTTTTTATATGTGAAGGAGTTGAAGTATTCATATGTAGCCTAAGATATTTTTATTATGATTATTTATTTTTACCCAAGACAACAAACTTTTTTCCAGCAAAAATTATTTTCAAGAATTAAAAACATTGATTATTTTACACTAGAAATCTAAGTTCATCCATTTTGTAATATAATGTATAAGCTCAAATAATTTCTAGTTACAAACATGAAACCTTGATACATTATAAAAGCTTGGTTCATTGTAAAAACTTGCTACATGAAGAACTTCTAAAGAAAAAAAAAGAGCTCTGAGGCAGATTTAGTGCACAATCTACTGGCTTCAGGAAAGAACACAGATGTTAATGTTTATTAAGCCAAAGGTAAGCTGATTTTCTACAACCAAACATGTTACTGTTAAGTATTTAGTAAGCGTTTTTATCTTGAAAAAGTTACTCTTTGAACTACTCATAATCAGTTTTTCCTTCTGGAACTTGTTTTCCTGTAATTATTTGTGCTTCCCTACGTTTTTGCCTTGAAGTGTGTCTTTTGCATGTAAAAACAAACAACATTTGTTTTAAGATCGTTATGAATTTTTTGAGAGCTGAGTTTGGATGGAAAGGCACCCTGCACAGATGAGAAATTCAGTTTTCAAAGAGATGAAACTTAGTGTAGTCATCTAAATAGAGAACTGCATGCTCTTGTTGTAATCTGTGTAAGATTCCTTCCTGAGATTTCAAAGGAGGGTTAAGTGCATAACAAGAATCTGTTGATATGCCTTTTCATAGTGAATGAAGATTGTGCTGAAATAGAAATTAAGACAAATTTGCTGTGTTTTCTGTACTCAGCATTCTTCTGTCAGCTCGACGCATGCACAAGGAGAGTATTTCTTCCTCCAGCCTTCCAAGCCTTCACACTTCCTTCTCTGCCCCTTCCTTCACTGCCCCCTCTTTCCTGAAAAGCTTTTACCAGAATTCAGGTAGACTGTCCCCACAGTATGAAAATGAACTCAGGTGAGATCAGTGTGCTCTGTTTGCAAAGCAAAATTTTCTCCAGTGATATACTGATGATATTACTAAAAAGTGGCTGATTAATTTTGGAGTGACTTTTGTACATCTTTCTGTGTTCTTGTTCTAATCTATTTATAATGCATTTATTTCAATTCTGATCAATTAAGAAAACCTTTTAAAATGAGTAACTTAAAAGCTATTAACTTTTTCAATTATAATTTTTTAAATGACCTATGGCTTGTTTTTAGTTTTGTTTGGTTTTTTGTTTTGTTTTTGCTTTAGGCCCAGAATGTAAACTTTGTACTTTTCTGAATGAGTCTTGGTGCTAACAATTCTAGGCCAGTTTTCCTTAGTCATGCCTTTTTTTTTCTCTTAGTCTCACAGAACCCAATGCCACTGATTCAAACAGCTATACCAAAGGGATAAGTGCAATATAGATTTGGCTTTTATATATAGATATAACAGATAGATATACAGATACTGGGTTTGAACTCAGGACCTCACACTTTCTAGATCAGCATTCTACCACTTGAATTATGCTTCCAGCAATATAATTCTTATTTTTAAGTACATAGAATATTTTGTAGGTATTTCTTTGATTATTTTTTAAATGACAAGTCTGCTTTTCTGAATCTCAGTGTACATATGATAAAGGTACAGGTTCATATTGATAGCCATTCAGGTAGTATGAGGGATTTCCTGAATGATTTGTTTTTATTTTTATTTTGTTCCCCAAGGTATAGATAAACTACTACACTTGCTTGCCCTTTTAGCTCCACAAAATTAGCTCTAGTGATTTTTTTTAGAATTTGAAATTTGCAGTTATATATGAGGTTATTTTTATTTTTATTTTTATTTTTTTGTTGGTCATGGGGCTTGAACTCTGGGCTTGGGCGCTGTCCTTGTGCTCTTCAGCTCAAGGTGAGCGCTCTACTGCTTGAGCCATAGTGCCACTTCTGGTTTTCTAGTGGTTTATTGGAGATAAGAGTCTCACAGAGTTTCCTGTCCGGGCTGGCTTTGAACCGTGATCCTCAGATCTCAGCCTCTTGAGTAGCTAGGATTACAGGCGTGAGCCACTGGCGCCTGGCTATGAAGTTATTCTTATCATTCTAAGATCAGCAGTCTCTAGAAAGTGGTGGGCTAACCCTTCTAAAGGGGTTATTTTTGAGTTAGAAATCGGTGAGATTCTGTCCTATTTGGTGTTTTGACTCATTCATTTTTATTGCTGTATGTTTTTCTATTTAACATATATACTGCCTTGCTGAATGAGTTGTTTCTAGTTGTCTGATAATGAACAGTTTTTATATTCAGGGAAAAACCATATGGTATTAATGAGCTTGTGTGTCACTGAAATCTTGGATACTAAATTAGCCTATTTTCTTTTAGATATAGGGAATTCTAAAAGTTACCTTATAAACAGACAACCCTCATTAATTTGATAAGTTATTTGAAGAGTTATGTTTTGAATATTTTTGTTCTCGTTTGCTACTTTTTCATATTATAAAAGATAATCCATATAGCTAATGAATCTAAACACTCTGAATTAGTGGCAAGTCATGTTTAAAGATTATATTTGATTTCTGATGGAGAAAGTAGATGAAGAATTTATTTCCGAGTATTTCAAGGCAATCTTGTGGGAGGCATTTTACAGGAAGTTAGCTCCAAGAGTAAAATATATATGGACTATGCTATGAATTTAGAGAACCAACAATCTCTACCCACCAGGTCATCAGTTTACTTTATCTCTATAAAATGCCTGCCAATACGAATATATCACTACAGTTTCTCATGGTTCATTCGCACGAGCATGTGGGCAATCCTGGTTTCCTTCCTGAAACAGAGCCAGGCCTGGAATTAGCAATCCAAATAGTCACTGGGAAGGGCAAAGGTTGGCTCTGAGTTGGGTATAGTCTACACAAGAAGCGACTTCGTTTTTTTTTTTCTTTCTTTCTTTCTAACAGGTTTTTTGTATTGTTTAATGTAAAGTGGTTAGTTTGTTTTCTGGAATTCCACTTAGTTGTACATATTATTCTTATCAATCACTTCTCCTGTCCCTACACAACTTGTTCTCACGAAAGGATATCAAAGTCTGAAAACAATTATACTTTAGGGTTAACTTCAGCTACTTTTCAATAGTCTTGTTATTTTAGGGCTTTACATTTGAACATGTAGAGATGTTTTCCATTTGCAGGACCACTAAAAATAATTTTGAGTACTCTTGGTTGTGAAAAATTCTAAAAGCCAGTCTTTTCTTTTGGTGGGTGGGAAGGGGGTACACTCTTAGCTTGACCCCATAAAATCTATAGGTCAAAAGTACTTTGAAAAAAAAATTGTATTGAAAAAATACCAATCATAAGCACATGGCTACATAGATTATCACAATGCTGCCATTGTCCAGCCAGCTAATGGGGGACCATAAGTCCTCTACCGCACCTCTCATTTTTCCATCCCATCTCTACCACACTGATTGTGCACACAGCACAGGATAGTTTTACATAAAGCTTGGAACTTTATAACAGCTATTCATTTATGTATGGATTCTTTCATTGACAATTGTTTGTGAGATTCATTCCTGTTTCAGGTGGTGGTTTTTTTTGGAGGGTGGGGGTGGGGATGGGATGGCCAGTACTGTCTTTTTTTTTTTTTTTTTTTGTCGGTCATGGTTCTTGAACTCTGGGCCTGGGCATTGCACTCTGGGCCTGAGCTCTGTCCCTCAGCTCTTCAGCTCAAGGCCGAGTGCTCTACCAGTTGAGCCACTGTACCACTTCCTGTTTTCTGAGTGGTTTATTGGAGATAAGAGTCTCACAGACTTTCCTGCCGGTGCTGGCTTTGAACCATGATCCTCAGATCTCAGCTTCCTGAGTAGCTAGGATTACAGGTGTGAGCCACCGGTGCCCAACTCAGTATGGTTTTTTGAACTCTTGGTTTCATCCTTGCTGAGCAGGCATTCTACTGCTTGAGCCACACCTTCTCAACCATTTTTTCTCTGTTTATTTTGAGATAGTTTGATGCAATTTTACTTTAGCCTGGGCTGGCTTGGATCATGATCCTCTTGTTTATGCTTTTTGGCATAGCTAGGATGCCAACAGCATGCCACTACAAGG